TACTGTGCCTTCCGTGATGACCAATTGGATGGAAATATTTGCATGCAGAGAGACCTGGTCATGTCAGAACTAACTTTTTCCTCCTTTCTTTTCTTCCTGCACCTTCTTCTTTTGGCTGTGGGAAAGGAAGCAGTCCTATCTTTTAACATTCTAGTGCTTATTATTACTGTACATGATTGAATTTAACTCCTGAGTCAAGATTATGTTTTGCTGCCAAAGGCAGTTTTACATTACCAAATAGTATCCTGAAAAGTCATAAGCCCACCTGAATTATCATACAAATGTGGAGGAAATGTCTTCCCTTTGCACTACTGAACACGTTAAAAAAGACAATGGGAGGGGGCTGGGAATTTAGCTCAGCGGCAAAGCGCCTGCCTGGCAAGCGCAAGGTAGTGAGTTCGGTTCCCGGTACCGGAGAAAAACCAAAACCAAAAAAACAAAAAAAACAAAAAAAAACAAAAAAAGACAATGGGAGAATAAACTGCTATTTAATATTATACTCCTGGAGTCTACTGATTTCACATTTACAAAAACAGTACTTCTTGAGTTTCATCATCAAGACAAACTTAAACAGCACTGAAATGTTCCTTGTAACCTTAGTTTGGGACTTTGGAGATTTATGATGATGGCTGCCGGCTCTGAATTAGTTATATGTACATAGGCGTCATTCATTATGTTTCTTAAAAATATCTTTTCACACTTTACTGAACCCCAAATCCCAGTTCTACTCCTAGCTTCTTTGCACATTTTTCCAAGAGCAAGGGAATTGAGTGTCACAGTAAATCAGTGTAAAGAATTCTACACTTCACTGACATTTTCCTGTCGATGATATATACGCCAAGAAGAAAATAATTTTTGTCACTTTTGTTTACTTATATGTAAACAGAACGTGGAATCCTGCCTGGCAGGTTGTAGGTGTTCAGTAAATATTTATTGAATAAATGAATTCAAATCTGAGCTGTCCTAAAGCATAGGAGTTTTGATTATATAAATGAAATACTGGTCAGCTTCAACTTTGCTAATTAAAAAATAATGTCCAGATAACTTATTTAACACAGTCTTCATACTTCTATAGCATATTCAGTGAGGGAATCTCTAAATAAAATACAGATAACAGTAAAGAGAATTAAAATTAACAAGCAAGATAAATGAAAGCTAAGTAAAAAATTATCCTTTAGCAATGAGCTATGGTCATACTTGAGGAAGATATACTAAATTGGTAAAATACAACACATACTTTTGTGATAGGAAGGAAGAAGCTGAGATAATGCAGTTCTGAAGTGTTGTCACATGTGTGTAATTCTAAATAGTTTATATTTATATTTTTTAAATTTTAGAGTATATTATTTCTGCATTCCATCTTTGGTTCTGAATTATCCTAGCAATCAATACTTCTTGTTCTCCCCAGTATGGATAAATGCGGCTTTCCCTTTATTGTTATTCTGTTACCATTAGTTTATTAGTATGACCTTTTTCAGTGTAAGAGTACTCCTCTTAAATTTTCATTTATTATTGTGGCGAGTTTTATAAAGATGGAACATTGCAAAAGATTGTGTTTTATTGATTGGTGAAGTTGATGCAGGACCGTAGAGCAGTGTGCTGAAGTACTAAATTAAATATTCTTTCTCTCTCTTCAACTTCAGGCCCATCTTAGAGGTTAAGGGGCATTACACAAATGAAATGATAAATCCCATTTACATAGTTCCCCTGTAGACATTGAACTATTTCTTTCTTATTATGTCTGTGTAAAACTCATTATCTATTTTGTTTCACTAATAATTATGAGATTCTCTCCTAAGCAATTCTTTACTGTCTCCATTATTCTCTATCTTATAGAATACTCTGGAAAGGCAAGCATATAAATATGATAAAAGAATTAAGCTGTTAAAATAAATTAATTTATTGTGCAAGAATGTATTCAAATCTTACTTGCTCAATGGATTTTATTTTAATGAAATTCTTCAAAGAACAATACATCATGTTTCAAAGATTGAAATTATACATTAAATGAAATGACTGAATATGTTGTCTCAATTTATAAAAAGTTTCAATTGAATAATTAAGCTTTTAAATCATGAAATTTGCATAAATTAAAATGTTTTCTTTATATAAAAGTGTTATGCATTGTTTTTGTACTCTTTGTTCTTAAATACGTAACTACAATTAAAGGTAAGCTAAAGCTAACACTACAGTTATACCATTATTTCCTACATGTCAAATTGTGCTTTTAAAATGTATTTTACATTAATATTTTAATCTAATTTTGCTTATTTTATTATGTGATCGGTAGGGTATTTTGAATGTGTAAAAGAATGAGTAAATAATTCATGTATTAAAGAAATCACCACAGGAAACTTTCACAATTAAGTATATTGACTAATGTAACCTTTTTTATTCTGATGTGGGAAATGTTAAGATAGACAAAGAATTCTTTTTAATAGCAGAGCCATTGTCGCTAGAGTCTTATGCATTAAACATTTAAGTTTTTATGAATTAAGTATCCCAGAAAGATAATGTTTTTATGCTTTCCGTTAGCACTAGAAGAAGTTCATTATGATGGGAAAATAGTTTAGCAAAATGATTACAGAGATTTCAAAATAGTTTAATCTGCAAATTTTACCATTGCCTGATATTTTTCTTTAATATCTTATACTTCATCAAATACATGACATTTCATAAATCTTTCTGAACAAGCTTGTTTTAAATTAGAAGGTTTGGGGTGTGAGTGTGTTGTCTCCCTCCCTATTTTTTCTCTTCTTCCCTTAGTCAATGATCACTTTTAGTCTTTTCAATCAAAATTTCACAGGAATTGCATTGAGAAATACATATATCTTACATTTATCTATCACTGAATTTTGCTACTTGCAGAAAATAGAGCTCTTAATTCTTAAAATTTTATCAATTAAAGTAAAGGGCTGGGGCTATGTATAATACTGACAACACATCTGTACTTTGGGAATCTTTTATTATCCTTAAGAACCCAATTCCAATAGTTAAGACCAGACCAAAAGCTCCTAAAGTTCAGAAAGTTGTCATTCTAACAATTCAATGTACCTTTCAAAGTATGCTTCAGTGTACCTTTACAAAGCACTATTTTTCTTTACAATATTGTTGAATAGTGCAAGTCTTTTGTCATGGTTTCTCATAGGGTTATTTTTTATTCTGTTGGAAAATCATTTTATGACATGGATTTTGGAAGAGGCCTTGGCCTTTCTTTCTGCTTATTTTCATTTTATTTCTCATGCTGCACAGAAATGAGTCTCTGGGTATCTGTTGAAGATTTTTAAAGATAATATACAGTCATGACAAAGTTAAAGAATATGATTTGAGTGCTTCTTGATTTTTATTACAGTTAGTCACCTGCAGAACCTTCAGAAAGTCTGGGTACCACTTGACACCTAGAACTGTTTTGTTTTCCTAGGGCCACTGAGACTAAGAACCACATTCTGGTTGGAGTAAAACAGTAACAATTTATTCCCTCACATTTCTTCAATCTAGAAGTCCCAGATCAAGAGGTCAGGAAGACCATGCTCTGAAATCCTATGTAGAATCCTTCCTTGCCTCTCCATATTTCTGGTGTCCCGGGCCATTCTTGAGCTTCCTTGGCTGGCTGCTCTATGATACCAATATTTGCCTCCATAGTTACATCACTTTTTAGCTAAGGTATTACAGGAAAGAGCCCACCCAAGATGAGGACTGCAACATGTCTATTCTGGGGACGGAATTCAGCAGTAGTGCTTGTGAACCAGAGTCTCTGAGTGGGAAGCCTTGAGTCTCTTCTCTGTTCTCCATGTTAAGTAAATCACTTTTTTTGGGGGAACATTAACCTTCTACAGATCAATTACTGTAGAACTGATCTATTCTACAATTACTGTAGAATAGATCAATTACTATAGAATTTCCTTTTTCAATTTTTAACATTTGTATTTTACCCTTTTAAACAATAATGTGCTTATTATATTATATGGAGCCTTACCCCTTACACTTGAAATATATATTAGTTATTATAAAGACAATTTATCAATGTCCATGTCTTTAATATCTGAAGGTATAAATATCTTGTTGCTCAGTGTAGAAAATATTAACAAATGCATATGTTAATTGCTAACTCTATAACAACTTGTTGGATGCATTTATATACTGTACTTGCATGTTACTTTTATGGCAAAGGTGCAGCGCTTAGTTTGAGCAAATTTAGTCTTGATGAGTGTTTACATACAATAGTACAGGAAATATGATATCAATTTTCCCTAAACACAACTAATGCATATGACATGTGTTTTCCCTAAGCGTATTTGTTTGGTTCAAATGGAGAATAGGGGTTATAGGTGCTTTGAAAATTATTCAAATCAATGAAGATTATTACAAATTCAAATAATAATCTGTGTGTATAATGCCTCAAATTGTGACTGTCTGAGAGTGTCTCATAATGAAATAGCTGTTAACCACTCCTCTGGTGCTTCTATTGTTATTGTGTATTACACAGGGTGTATTGATGTGTTTGTCACATTGGCAGTTGGTGTGTTGTGATCTTCAGATGCCTGCTGAAACAGGAAACCATGTTTTAAAATGTCTTTAAACAAATAGTATTTAAAATCAACTCTTGTGTCTTTGTTCCATTTATTCTTCATATTCTTCGGGTTCTTCATGGATGTTTTTGGTTGTCTTCTTTAAACTCACTTTTTCTCCAAAGAGTAGACTGACCTCCACCACGAGCACAGTGAAACTTACCTGCAGAACATAGTTTCATATGCATTCCCCTCTATTATGCTAACAAAAATTTTAGTCTTTCAAATGATCAGTGCATTGAAGAATATCAAATTAGCTGAAGTTTAGGTTTTGCTCGAAATAGAAGACGTCTTTTAGTACAGTTTAATGCTAGTGAAATGTTTCTCTCTCTTCACCTTTCTTACTGTATTTAAGAAAAATTAAGGCCTGTTAAGTAGTGACCTACTGAATTCACCTTTTGTTTTCCCTTCTCCGTTCCCGCCCTGTTGCAGGAGCGTGTTCCTGATAGCCCCTCGCCCGCCCCCTCCCTGGAGGAGGGTCGAAGGCCTGGCAGTCACCCGTCCTCGCATCGCAGCAGCAGCGTGTCCAGCTCCCCAGCACGGACCGAGAGCTCCTCGGACAGAATCCGTAGGTTTCATACTTCTACTTGTCACCGTTTTACGCTTTATTAGGTGTAGCTAGCTTTTCTAATCAAAATACCCTCGTTCCAAATGGATCTCTCCGCTATATCATGTTCTGATGCTCTATAGCAATAGCCATCTCTCAAAGTTATGTTTCCCAGTTTGGAATATGGGGAAGTATGATATGACATTAACAGGTTCTGATAGGAACTTTCTCTCTTTGATGCTACACATAAAGAATTGAGCTATGAAACAGAAAATGTAAGTAATCTTCTAGATTAGTTGCTGAAGTAAACAGCCTCTTCTTAAAAGTCTGCCTGAGGGTATCGTTCACTGCTAATTCAAATTTATTCCTTCAGTCCCATTTCTTCATTTTTGTAATTTACAAATTTTAAAAATTCATCATTGCAATAATGAAGATTTCCACAAGAAGGAATAAATCAAATTTGAGACTGTCAAAATAATAAATAGAAAGATATAGATATATTAATCATTCAGATGATCAATTAACTGAAAAATTTTAACTGGCTAGATTTAGAATTTGGTCAACTATGCTACATATTGTTATGTTACTCAAATCTTAAATGTGGAGTTATGTTTTATTTCATCACATTTTTACTTTTATTTTGGCCCCTATAGATAAAAAGTTGAGTTAATTTTTTTTTTTTTTTTTTTGGTTTTTCTCCGGTACCGGGAACCGAACTCACGACCTTGCGCTTGCCAGGCAGGCGCTTTGCCGCTGAGCTAAATCCCCAGCCCCAAAACTTGAGTTAATTTAAGAAGCTATTCAATAGATAATTATTTGTTGTGTCTGTATAGAACTCAACTCTGTTTTTCAGCAAAATGGATTCATTTAAAAAGATTAGTTTGGTAAATGAAACTAATATATATTATATTATATTACAGGATATTTATTACTTTACAAAATCAGATTTATAATATAAATGTTAGCTAATTACACAGAATTTATCAGGTTTAGTTTGTTGTTTAGAATATTTCCCTAACAGAAAACATTTTCAAAGTGTTTTATTAGGTTGTAAAAGAATGTTTGCAAAAGGTAAGATTCCTTAATTGGGATGCTATTATCAGTATAAAGTGTGAAGAATTGTGTATTTGAAAATTATAAATAAAAGATTATTATTATCAGCAATTTTATAGTTATATATAACTGTAAATAGAACATTTGATTTATATTTACCTAATTTCTTAATTTAATGAAACCAAGGTAATTTATTACTGATAAAAGTGTATCATTCGGTAACTATCCCCAAGCCATCAATAACTTTTCTGATTGGCAAATTCAGCTCCCATTACTTCAGAAGTTTTCCAATAATTGCTATCTTCATGTATTTATGATGTATTAGAGGGAAACCAGGGACAGATTGGGGAAGATTTGCAATAGTTTTGTTATATATTTATGTTATTTTATTAATGTTCATATTTTTTGTATTCTTGATATAAACAATTTTTTGGGGTCCTTGGACTACCCTACTTGTTTAAATGAAAATATAAGCAAATACATACACATATATAAATACACACGCATATTCAAATCTACACACGTTTTTTTTCAATGTATAATAAACAGTAATTTCATATTAACAGAAACTTTCCAACTTTAACAATGCAATTCTTACATATTTGCTCCCCAGATTAACTCACTCATTCACTCAGTCAATGAACCAGTCAGTCAACCAATTAGTATCTGATGGAGATATCTCCATTAAGGAAAATTGCTAATAGTGCCCCTATATTGGGCATAAAGCTTTTTTGCTACAAATATTTCCTTGCTTATATTCTAAAAGCAAGATATTTATTTTGCATAACCACAAAATGATCAAAATTGAAAAATAAATATTTTAATATGGTTATCTAAACTTGAGACTTAATCCAAATTTAACCAGTTTTCGCATTAATATTTTGAGTAACAAGATGATTTTCTTCCTAGTTTTAAAAGCTAATTTATCATATACGATGCAATTTGCCATATTCCCTTAATTTCCTTTAAAGAAATCAGGATAATTTCTAAGTCTTTTGTTTTCAGCACTTACTAGTTTTGATGCGTATAGGCATTTATTCTGTAGAGTGTTCCTGAGACAAAATTTTTTTGTAGACCTCATGATTGGCTTTAGCTTATGCAGTTCTGGCAGGGATCACATGGCCATGATAGGGTATCTTCCCAATGAATCATTTCAGGAAGCATGATCTTTATATTACTGATAACAAATTTATCATCTTGTTAAGGTGGTGACTACTAGGTTTCTGTACTAAAGTGTCATTTGTTTAATACTTGAAGATACTAAATGCTGTGTGAGGATGTATTTTTAGATGATGCATGTATTCTATTATTCCATTCATCAAACTTTCACCTACTAGTTTAAGAATCATTGATCCTTACAGCAGTTATTACCAATTCTGATTGCCAAATGGAAATGCTTAATATTTTTAAAAATATTTACTTTCCAAAGAAAGTAAGGTTTATGTAATTATTCTTCCTTCTAAAATTTTGCACAAACCAAGACTTTCATGGGCAGTTCATTAAGTGAATTTATTAATGAGGTTGTAAAATGTGTGAATGTTTAACCAGCTCAGTAGTAATGGTGTTTTACTATGTCAAAAGTAACATTACTGTTAACAGTTCAGGAAAACAATTATTGTTTTTATTTATTCAACCTTTCAGTAGAAATCCATTAATCATTTTTATTTTCAAGTTTGAATTCAAAAGCATTTTTAGAGAAATATTTTGACATCTATTATACTTTCTGTTCTATTGACTAGAATAGAACAAGAATATTGAGACCATTTGCAATTCCTTAAGTAGTGGAAAAAACTATTTGCCCTTTCAGGTCACTAGAATATATTTATTAAATTTTAACCTCATAAAAACAGCACTTTAGTGGTAAGATTGTAGGTATTATAGAATTGAGGACTTGTTTACTGAGGAGAGAATCTAACGTTCTAGATTAATAGAGTGAGTATTTCACTGGCAATGGTTGTAGTAATATGGCTATTCATAATTATTCGAAACATTAACATATTTTGTTCTGTGTGACACAAAAAGTAAAGTGGTGGTGTTTTCAGTATTTTCTGTTTCTCCTTAAGGTTTTCACAGTTATCAATTATTGTAGGATAATTATAATTTTAAGGATAAATTACCCTTTAAGAGTAGATCACAATTTTAAATTTAGACATTTATATTTTATTTATTTTTGAGTCTAAAAGTTTGATTGATCTGTTTGAACCTTTTGTGTTATGGGGTTTTTGTCTTTGTTCTTTTGTTTTGGGATTAACAGCTGTGCATCAGAACGGGCTGTCCATGAACCAGATGCTGATGGGTTTATCACCAAATGTTCTCCCTGGACCAAAGGAGGGAGATCTGGCCGGTCATGACATGGCACACGAGTCAAAGAGGATTCATATTGAAAAAGGTAATTTATGATTCCATGGCCTTTTTTCTCCTGCTCAATATGCAAACTAGATCATAATTATAGAATAAAATATAGTTCTGCATCGTGAAAAATAATATCATACGAAAATGTTTATTTTGTGCTATGTATGAATAAATAAGTCTGCTCAACAAAAGAAGCTTAAATGAAGATCTTCTGCTTTTCGGCTTTTCTCTTGTAAAACGGTAGGTGGGAACTGGATGCTCAGTACGTTTCAAAATAAGAAATGTTTGTCTTAAATGTTATCTCTGAGTTTCAGGAGGTCTGCTATTTGTCTTTCTCAGTGATTCCAGGGCCACTGTCCTTTTACTTCACATGATAGGATAACAACAATATACAAAAGATTACTATAGGTCTTTGTCATTAAAGCCATAAGCAAATATAAATCAGTCTTATCAGTGAGTGGACCAGTAGCTGTTTCAAAAGTATATGCAACAAATAGCAAAGGGGTCAAATCTATATTTTCTGCATATGCACTATGTTTTAGTATCAATTCTTTTCCAAAACCTAAAGTCTTTATGTATATTTTCACCAATTATTTTCTGAAGTAATTTTAGGAAAAAAAATTATTTATTTGAAGCCATGGTTCTACAAATAACTCAACTATTCAACTGTCAAAAAATATTTAGAGACTAGGTATTTAAATAATCACAGGAAGAAATGTTTGAAGAGAGACTGAGGAGGAATAATCATCCCCCATAAAAAACTACACACAAAAAAGTAAAAATGCTTGCATAAAGCATTTTTACATTCAGTATGATACAAGCTTTGCCAAATCCTTTAGGGAGAAAATACAGTACAAATTAAATTATCTGCACTATAGAATTCCAGTGATGAAATGACAATCCTTCCTAGGTATTAACATGTTAAAATGTAGACATAATTGAGAATTAACAGCATTAAGGAACTTTCCTAATTACTTAAGTTTTGGTATCATGTTATTACCCCGCTAAGTAGACTATATTCAGTGCATCACTAGGCAAGATGGTCTCTAAATTTCTCATTGTCATGTTTTCATGAACTCTGCTTTCAACATCAAAACAAATTTATATATTTATACCTTTTAAAAACCCTTATACAGCACTGTTATGAAAATGAGTGAGGTGACAAACTAACACTTTGTAGGAGTTAAAGTTTTAAGTAATAGTTAAACAAGAACTTAACTGTATATGTTAGGCAGTGGTTTCAGTAAGGGGTCAGCGAAACACTAAACACCTACAGAAAATCATGCCTGACTTTTTTCTCAGTGTTCTTGTGGGTGATGTTTTTCTAGTTAAACATCATTTGCATAGGAGGGGAGTTAACTGGTGATATACAATGGATGTCAGAATATTAGAGTTTAGTTTTCAAAACTTTGGTGGAGAAGGGCTGTGCGCAAAGTGTAAAAGTCAAGAGATAGTAGTGAAAAGAATACCGCAGAGGCAACCGATTCCATTCCTGGAATAAGGAATCCCATTAGAATTTTTGGTGCAGAGCTTTGGGCAACCTTATATTACATCTTCATGAGTTTAATTTATCTAACTTGTCATGTATTTGTTCATATCGTTATAAACTTGCATTTAAAAAAAATAAAGTACCAGGTTGATCTAGGTGCCACATGTTTGTTTTTCTTATATCCCTGACCACAAAATTTCCTTACAGTCTGTGCCTGGTTCAGTGAAGTTGCTTCTTCCTTTGTGCCCATCCCTCAGTAGACTCTGAACTTGAGGTAATCCAAATATTGTATTTACTATAAACAGTAATGTAGGGGTGCATTTCAGTCTGAGTGGAATTACTACAAGGTTCTAACAGAGGAGATTTAAAACATACGTTTACATTATTTACAGATAAACGGCAAGGCAACTAGTAGAAGTACTTGACTTTGAGGAGATATATTTATATGAAATATAGCACAACATTCTGACCATGAACAAATATTATATATATTACAAATATTATATAATACAAATTTATATGTATAAAACATATATATAACAAATTTATGTATATATAAATAAATAAAATATATATATATATCTAAAATGGTACCCCTTATTATGTCAAGATTTTGTAAATGGTTTTGTTATCAGAACAAAGGCCTTAACCAGAGTTCAATCATTTCCCAAAATTTTAACATATATTTTATAAAGCAAAATAAATTGTTAATCTTCTCCTTAGAAATGTAAAACTGTCATTGATTTCAAATGTAAATATATAATCATGAAAATTTTAATAGATTTCAATAATATTATAGTGTTTTTTGTGTGATACTTTTTCTCGCATGAAATCTTTCTTTTATTTACTTTTCAGCATACTGAATTAATAGTAAATATTCATGGGCTTTCGAGATTGATAGAGTAGACTAAATTAAAAATTGTTTTTATTCATGACTGCATTTATCATGTCCCTCGTAATCATCCTGTAACTTTCTTACTACTCACATCTGTATGAAACAAGTAACTTTACTTAGCAACATTTGTAGAGAAATTAATTATATGTTCATGGCATTTAAGGCTTCATCTTCTTATATATAATTTGTTCTCTATCAACTATATCATTCAAAAGGCAATAATTCTTAAGAAAACATTGATACTAAAAATAGATATAAAATTCTTTTATATGTTGAGAAACATTGTGGTCCAGAATCTTAACCATTGGCAACTTTTAAACATTTAATGTTTTTCTTACTATTAAATAGCTACCAACTCTGTTTATTAGACAAAAACAATTATAACACAATCAGCTTAAGGACCAATGGTTTTACAAGCCTTAGAGCTTGTAAATACTAACTGCTGAGTAAATTCTCTCATTTTAAATTAAAGAATCCTACAGTAGAGTTTTGAGCCTAAGGAGATTTTAACTAAAGTACATTTAAAATTTAACATGAAAGGTATGTTAGTTTATTAACAAGTAATAGACACATAGTACTGCTGCAGTTGTCCCAAGGCTAAGCAGAAATACTTTAAAATTATAAACTTTGATTAAATCAGGAGATTTTCACAGATATGCACTGAGAATGACTCTGATACTGCACATACCATGTCTTTTAAAAATGGTCTTTGTGTCTTCTAACTTTTCTAAACATCCTGGGTTCTCTAGAACTTTCTAGAATTAAAAATATTGCTAGTGTTTTCCTTTGATCTAAATAAAATGGAATAGGTAGTAATAATGGTCATTTGAGTTATATTAATGGGCTGTTTCTTGAAGATGTACTTCTCTGTTTATTCCACACATAGTTGTCTACTGTTTTCAATTTCTGGTTTTATTCTCTCCTGCATAATATGCTTTTAGTTTTCCTTAAATTGCTACTTTCCATACATTTTGGTGCGTATTTCTTACCTTACATGTGATTTGACATGGACACATTTTAAGTATAGAATATATCTAATTTTAAATTACCAAAATTAAGTGTATCATAGAGGTAAGTTCATATTATATTTTCCTAATTATAGAAAATAAGCATTTATCACTGGGACTAACAAATGAATATATTAGTATATTTAATTACTAATATTATTAGTATATTCATGTCTTTCAATCTAAGACTAAATATTTCAAATGGGCTTGGTGATGCATGCCTGTAATCTCAGGCATCTGGAAGACTGAGGCAGGAGAATTCCAAATTCTAGTTCAACTGTGGCAAGTTAACATGACAGTGTGTCCAAATAAAAAGTATAAAGGAGATTGGGCATGTAGTTCAGTGTGAAGTTTATGGGTTTACTCTTCAGTGGAACAAAACAAAAAGTGATATAATTAATTAGTAAAAATTTATTGAAAACCAGTTATATGAAAGAAAGCAAATGAAGTACAAAAAACTTTCTCCTCTTTCTTTGCTATAAGTGGACAGACTTTAATATGTTGCTTAAGTTACCCCATACTTAAGGACTTAAGGCTCCTTCCTTTCTTTGTTTTCATAAGAAATAAGATCAGTCCTAAAGGACACAAGTTTAGAAGCCGGGCGAATTTGAGATGAGGCAGGAAATTCAAGGGATTTCTTCAGGCCATAAAACATTTCTGCTTGTTGGACATTGCTCAAGATTTGTGGTGCTCGACAGCCTTCTATAAATTATTTTCATGTTGCTACACTCAAGTGGGGGACAGAGCACTAGAGCTATTAATGTAGATAGCAAATTGGTTGTTTTGGATTTTCCTTTTTTAATAATTTATTCTTCGAATCCACCCTTGTAAGCCATTTTGTAAAAAAGATAATGTCATCACTTTTCTTGAGTTTGTGGAAAAATCCTTTGAAATATTTCCTTTGCTCTCTGTTTTACTGAAAAATTCTAGCTGAGTGTGTTGGTGCATGCCTGTAATGCCAGCACTCTGGGAGGCTGAGGCAGAAGGATAGTAAGTTTGAATTTAGCCCGAGAAACCTAATGACTTAGTGACACCCTGTCCCAGAATTGATAAGGGGAGGGAGAGTGAGGAGTGGGAGAGGGAGAGAATAAAAGCCGTGGATTTGATCCCTGGCACTGCAGCACCAATAGCAATATAATAATTTTAACTTTATTCAAAGTAGAACTGAGTCTTTACTAATGACTTTTTAAAAATCCTAGACATTAATTAATAGTAAACTTTACACACAAATATCTCTGGACTCACTAGTATTTTATGTGACTAGGAAGATGTGAACAGACTGAAAGCCATTTTTCATTAGTTTTAAGTGCTTGGATAACATTAACATTGCTTCTAGGGTCATGATTATGTTCAGTTTTAAAATTCTCTAACGTCCAACTTCTTTTTCACTTACACTTTTTCAATATAGTTTTTCTTTGCATATCTCAAAATGTCTTACGAAATATTTTCCCTACATATCACCTAGCCGTGCAACTTTAAAACCTCATCAGTTTTGAGTGTTATGAAATAAAGGTGTTGAGCTTAATGCCAACACTTCAAATTCTGTAATGCCTGACACTGGACAGTGACACATTTCCCGGCTGTCAGAGCTCTCTTAAAAGTAAATGGTAAACTTCATATGCAATGCCATAGCTTGAGGGAGGTGT